ACCTTTTCTCTCTGGATTTCACTGTATGAAAGAGAAATGCATTTTTTCTTATTTACATTACTTTGGGATTTTGTGGCCAAACCTAATCTTAACTAGTACATCCATAAACAAGATCCACGGAGAAACAGTTTACCTTATTCACTAATAAATACACACAAATACATACAATTAGGCAGTTGATTCAAGATAGAAGAAATCCAAAGAGCTCATAAACATATAAAAAGTGTTTACTCTTAGTAGTAATCAAGGAAATGTAAATTAAAACAAGATAATATCTTTCATGCATCAGAAGGGCAAAGAAGAAAGAAAAATAGACTAAGTAATGTTGAGTACTCAGGAAAATGGTCCCTGTTAGATATTGTTGATGAAAATTGTTATTAATAACAATTTTAATTGGAAGGTAAATTGGCAGCATCTATTAAATGTACTTGTGATATGGGCCAGGAAACTAACATGAATCTATGCCTTAGAAATAACAGTGACAATATACAAGAGTATATGTTCAAGAATTCTTATTGGAGCATTGTCAAGGGAAGAACCTGGAAACAATCTGTTAAATCCATCAGCAGTGCAATGTTTAGATAAGTTATGGAACACTTCTTCTATGAAATATGCACCTGTATTTTTTAAAAGGGAGCTCTAGTGGTGTAGTGCCTATGGCATTTGACTGCTAATGAGAAGGCTGGCGGTTCAAACCCACCAGCCACTCCTAAGAAGGAAGACTGGGCAATCTACTTCCTTAGTGATTAAATAAATAAATAAATAAAACAGACTCACTGCCCTGGAGTTGGATCCGACTCACAGCGACCCCTCCTTGGGTCTCCGAGAAGCTCCATAGTGATGCCGCCTCGGAAACCCAAGGAGGGGTCGCTATGAGTCGGATTGGACTCAACAGCAGTGAGTTTATTTTTTTAAAAAAAGGGGGGTTAGTTCAATGCATCTGGACCTGAAATGTTATGATACATTGTTTCATGGGGAAAGTAAATTACCCATTTTTTATATATTTAGCCAACCAACTTTGTGTCTGCATATCTGTATAAGTTTGTATGAACATGGAGGAAGGTGTGAAAAGACACACCTCACATTGTTAACATTGGTTACCTTAGAAGGGGAGGCTTTGGTGGTGATGGTGGCAATGGAGATGACTTTTTCTGTAAACATCTTGGGATGATTTCACTGGTTGAATATAATTTTACTTTTTAAATATTTACAAATTATTTAAATTAAAATTGATTTTAATAAAATGTACATATCCAAGAATATAAAATTAATGTACCTCAAATATAAGTAAATGTCTTTAAACGTGAGTCTTGCCAAACATGTAATCCATGTCATTGAAGCAAACCGCACAGACCTGTACTAATGAAGATGATAACTTAAGAGAATAATGTGACTTAAGCACTGAAGTTTCACAATTAGTATTTCGGTAACATTTATATTTAGAATGGAAAGAAACTCTTGTGTTACTAAAATAAATAAGTGCATGTTATTTCTTGTAATCTTCTGGGATGAAGTTTAATGCCAACCATATCCTGGAAAGGAACAGGGGAATTAAGAAAAAGAAAGCAACAGTTCTTCTTCCTCATCGGGAGGGTCCAGTGATGCCTCAATGAGTGTGTATGTGTGTGGGAGGAGTGGCTGTCAAACAAGGTACAAATCCACTTGCCCTAATTCAAACCCATGCTCTTCTGACGCTACTGAAATGTTCTGCAGCCATCAAGGCATGACCAACTCCTAGTGAGACACTTGACTCATGTTTGCCTCTCCCTTGTGCTTCCTCCTTCCTCTGAACCTGTTTGTCTGCTAAACCCTCTCAATTTGACCTCTGGAACGCCTCTGCCCTTGCCTCCCTCTGGCCTTGTTGCGTTTTGCCAGGTCTACCTAATAACACTAGAGCCACCACTGCCAATGAAGCCAGAGTCCTTTGCCTGTCTTCTAGACCCTTCACATCCGGCTCCTTCCAGCTTCCTGACAACTAGTTCACCTACACACTCCACCCCAGGATAGGAACGTTTTAGTCAGCCGGGAAGACTTCAGTGTTGCACCCTAATCTGTGGGGCAGACAGAAGTTTCTGGCACAAACAGAAGTGCCAGAAGCCTGATTGGTGGGGCGGGCCAGGGTGGGGCTTGTCCTGGCCAATGGAGGAGTGGAGTGCAGGGTCAGAGGTCAGTGGGTGTGAACTTCCTCCAGAGTGGAAACGTGCGAGGTGATTTTACCTCAGGTAAAATTCCTGACAGGTTGATGATAGAAGAGAGGGAAGGTATTTCCCCACCCAGGGAAAGAAAAGATCTAGAAGGGGCAGAAGGATGGCAACTCCAGAATCTCAGGGAAACAGATTTGTATGGCCCGGCCAATATGGCACTGTGGCGACAAGAGTCCGGACTTGGCGTCCGTCTAATCTAAGTAGAGCAGAAATAGAGGGTGTGAAGGGCGCAGGAACTCTTGTGGGATTGGATAGTCTCACTCCTCTGTGAGTTCACGCTGCGGGTCGATACAGCTGATCTGGTGCTTTGGCTGGTGAAGGAGATGTGGCGCGAGGCCGAGGATTCACACACACACGTGTGGCTGGGATCAAGCCATTTTGGAAACCTTGTTGTTGTTGTTGTTGTTATGTGCCGTCGAGTCGGACCTGACTCATAGCGACCCCTCCTTGGGTTTCCGAGGCAGTATCACTACGGAAGTAGATTGCCCAACCTTCCTTCCGAGGAGTGGCTGAAAAATCTTACTTTTCCCATTTGTGCACAAGAGCCTGACCGAACTGTTGTGTGTTTGGCCCGATAGATACAGCTCTGGAGGTGGCACCAGAAAGAGTCTTTAGAAACGGGTAAGAAAAAAAAGTGGGAAGTGCTGCAATTCAAAGGTGATAATGTTTAAGTACCTTCTCTCTGACCATGATTTTGTTTGTTTTCCTGTGTCTTTGATTTCAGAAATAAGGCCAATGTGTCTCTCTTTCCATCCACCCACCACTATAAGATGGATTCAGATATCTTTAATACAGTGAAATAAAATTAGCAAATGAAAGAAGTTCTGTGAATGTATGGAACAAACTGTCTTATTTAAGCCCTAAATAATTAGCACACATTTCAATGACTGACTTTAATACAACATAAATTATTGTGTAAGGTATTTGATGAAAAGAATGGAACCAAAGCTGATAGAAATATTCCCCCCCCCCCAAAAAAGGAAAATTTAAAAGCTGGCAATAAATTGTCTGAATGGGTAAATTAGTATAGTTGGTTTTAACTTTTTGAAATGACTTCTGGATTGAGGCACAATTAGGTAATTTCTTCTCAAAGAGCAATATCAAGAAATTAACATATATAGACTGAATATTTGCTTCAAAGATCAATGATACACTGTATAGAAAAAGTATAATATAAATATGTTAGTGCAATGATTAGAAGTATCTTCAGACACGTAATCACCAGGACCACCACCCCTCTGTCATGTACAGCAATGAAGTGGCTTGAATGCGGCTGTGATGCGGGAAACGATGCCACCAGTATTTCAAATACCAGCAGGGTCACCCATGGTGGACAGGTTTCAAAGGAGCTTCCAGACGAAGACAGACTAGGAAGAAAGGCCTGGTGATCTCCTTGTAGAAATTAGCCAATGAAAACTTTATGGTTCAAAACAGAATATTGTTCAGTGTAGTGTGGAAGATGAACCCCCTAGGCTAGAAGGAACTGCTCAGTAGCCACAACAATAGGTTGGAGCATACCAATGACGGTAAAGATTTGGAGGACTGCGCAGTGTTTTGTTCACTTATGCATAAGGTCCTCATGATGTGAAGCCTGCTTGAAGCCAACTAACAAAAACATTTTCTTTTCTTAAAGAAAGGTAGCAATAATGTATTCCCCACATTTGTTGGTGCTGTAGAATCTAATAATATTAAAGATAATTCAGATAATTGTTGGGTTTAATTTAATTGGAAAGCTTATTGTAATACCCAAAATGTCTTCTGAATCGGTAATAAAATAAAACAATTGCATTCTGGGGTGTTTAAGAAGTTTATTGTTAGTTTTTTAGTCTTTTTTTCAATCCAGATGTTGACTAGTTAAGAATGTTAACTTGATGATAATTAAATATAGGAATAAATTCATAGCCCATTAATGTAGACAGGATCTTCAGGTCTTTTGGTCCAGTACCATAGTAGAAAATAGATAAACTTCAAACAAATTTAAAATAATGTAATGAACTAAGGCAAAACTGTTTAGGTTAGTAAGTGTATTTCATTGACTAAAAACCTACTGACAAACTGCTATATGGAAACTACTAGTTTAATCTGAATTCCCCAAGATATTTTAAATGGTTGATAAAAGTACTAAGAACCAGCTGATAAACTAGACTCTTCTAAGCTATAATTCAGCTGGTTCTGATATAAATGAGAAGCATTTTAGACTGATTCAGTAGTCTAAATGTTACTGCTTCTTCAGATACGTTTACCAATAGTTTACCTGGGAATAATATACCATAGTTGTTTTATTCCAAATGAGCTAGCTTTTAGAGAATTCTGACTTCAGGCTCTTTATTTTATAAGTAAGAGAATGGAAGCAGTTTCCTAAATCCTACTCCATGGCTTCAGAAGATTTCTGCCCTTGGTTATGTAATTTCAAAATCACCTCAGAAACATGGTTATCCTGGGAAAACCACTCCACCAATCTTGTGAAATCCAGCCTCTTTTGGCTGCACATCACAATTTATTTTAAATATATTTCATCCTACCAACTAGATGTATGGATTCAACAAAATGAGAAAATATATGAGCAGTTTTTATATTACCAAGTATTATTTCCATATTAAATTTAAAATCATCATAAAAAATGTTATTTGTGTACTTAATTGTTATCATTCAGAGTCTTTTTATAACAAAGAATGAACAAAAATTTTGTGATTAAGAGAGGTTTTATGCTCCTGGATTTACTATTTCACCAGAATTTCATTTTAATTTTTATATTTCCAGTTGTTGAAGTTTGTACTGCTTTCAAAGAAAGAAGATATGTTTCCGCCAATCAAATATCGTGCAATAGACTATTTAGATGAGGTAGAGTATTATTGGTTCACTACCAATTTACTAGGAATGTAAATAAATAGCAAGCAAAAAGCAAGAAAGCCACATTACACTGTTAACAGAAAAAAAAGCATATTGCTAAATGGTGTATTTTTTGTCAGTTATACACACTCAAGTGCATATAGGTTTCAGACTAACCTAGAAAAAAAAATCTGTAAGAAAATACATCAAACTATTACTGACTGTGGAAGATTAGTTTACTAGGGACCTTGACTTACTCAGTTATATGGTTCTGTGTTATTTGATATTTTATAATAAGCTTGTATTACTTTCAAAGAAAAATCATGTAAGTTTAAAAGAATATAAAATTTTACTATTCTGAATATTGATGCATAGTGGTATATGTTAAAAATATTTTTAATCTTACCTTCTTATACAGAATGTAGTTAGGAAGAGGTTTTGCAGAGATGCATTACTGCTTAAAATCCCTTCATGTTTATATCAAGATTATCATTCAGGAGTTACTGATGATAAATATAGGAGGCCATGGACAAGAGGTTTGTTTTGTTTTTATTTCTCAAAAATCTGTTTTAAATTTTATTTCATAGCTTAACACAGTAAATTATTAAGAAAATACAGTGTTTTACTCATTGATTTATATTTACTCATATCAGAATTTAGTTTATAAGTTAATATTTTTATTACAGAATATGTGTTGTTGTCGTTACGTGCCGTGAAGTTGGACCCGACCCAGAGAAACCCCTCCTTGGGTTTCTGAGGCAGTATCACTACAGAAGTAGATTGTCCAACCTTCCTTCCAAGGAGTGGCTGCTGGGTTTGAACCGCCAGACTTCTAATTAGCAGTCAAGTGCCTTAGGCATTACACTACCAGAGTTCCCATTATAGGTGACAAAATTAGGAATTGGAAAGCTTATACTAGATATGAGTAGAACAAATAAAAAATATGTAAATGATGAAATCTTAAAATATTCTAACATTATAATAGGATCTCGTCAGGACTATATGAGGACTACTTTAAGTTATAGTGATACAATGAATTTAAAATTATTTTTAAATGTTTATGTGTAAAATACTGTTTTTTGCTTTTATTAAATCATGGACTTAGGAAAGAGGCAGTCTCCTCAGAGGAGTCAAGTCAGTTAACATTTATTTACTATGTATCATATACCAGGCACTGAGGACACAACTACTAATTAGATAGAAATAGTACCTGTCCTCAAAGGATCTTCAGACTGGTCAGGGGTTGCACCAATAAAACCATTAAATATATAAGCTAATATCTGATATTGATAAATGTATAGAGAAGATACAGTAGTGTAATGTGATATAGAATTCAGAAGTGGGCAATGCTGTCTCCTAAAATGGTTAGAGAAAGGCCTCTATGAAGAGGTGGACATTCGAGTTGAGACCTTAATGATGACAAGGCAGCAAACATGAAAAGATGTCAGGGGATAATTCTTTCAAGCAGATAACAGGATTCTCAGAAATGAACTTGATGTATGTGAAGATCAGAAAATCAGGCTGTTATGACAGGACCAAAAAAAAACCAAACTCACTGCCGTCAAGTGGATCCCAACTCATAGCAACCCCTCCTTGGGTTTCTGAGGTGATGTCTCTACTGAAGCAGATTGCCCAATCTTCTTTGGAGGAGTGGCTGGTAGGTTTGAACCGCCAGCCTTCTGGTTAGCAGTCAGATGCCTTGGGCGCTATGGGAGATCTGAGAAGTAGACAGTTGCTGAATGATAGAAGAACTTACAGGCTGTGGTATGGAGTTTCTTTTATTTATTTATTTATCTGTCAGTTTATCTAATTGTCTGTAATGGCTGATGGGGAACCACTGGAAGATTTTAAGCAAGGGTATGACTAATCTAATTTATGCTTTGGAGGGATCATTTTAGTTGTCTAGATGATAGAAGGATTGGGTGCTCAGAGGGGAGAATAGAGATAAGTAGATCAATGACAAAGCTATTGTAGAGACCTAGAATCTAGACTACTAGATGAACATAGACTTAGATGAGAGATGATGGTGGCTTGGACTAGTCTCATACACAGTAATGGAGATGTGAGAAGAAGTTAGAATTGAGATTATTTTAGAAGTCCAGCCAACAGTGAGAGGTTTGGAAAAAGAGAGAAATAAGGAATATCTTGGTTTTTGAACTGAGCAACTGGGTGGAAGGCAGTGCCATTTCCTGAGAGAGAAAGGCTTATGGGGAAGCCAGTTTGTGGCAGGATTCAATACTGCACTGGCCAGATTAAAATGCCTATTAGACATCTAAATGGAAATATCATGAAGGCAGTTAGTTATATTAACCTTCAGCACAGCTGGAGTTTTAAATTGGAACCATCGATATATGCAGCTGTTGTTGCTGTTATGTGCCATTGAGTCATCTCCAACTCATAGCAACCTTACATATAATAGAACGAAACACTGCCCGGTCCTGTGCCAGCCTCACAATCCCTACTATACCTGAGCCCATTGATGTAGCCACCATGTCAATCCATCTTGTTGAGAGCCTTCCCCTCTTCTGTTGACCCTCCACTTTACCAAGCATGACATCCTTCTCCAGAGAATGGTTCCTTCTGATAACATGACCAAAGTAGGTGAGACTAAGTCTGGTCATCCTTGTTTCCAAGGAGCATTCCAGCTGCACTTCTTCCAGGACAGATCTGTTGGTTCTTTTAGCAGACCATGGTACCTTCTGCATTCTTCGCCAGCACCACAATTCAAAAGCATCAACTCTGGTTCAGTCTTCCTTATTCATCGTCCAGCTCTCACATGCATATGAGGCGATTGAAAATACCATGGCTTAGGTTAGGCGCATGTTAGTCTTCAAGGAGATATTTTTGCTCTTCAGCGCTTGAATGAGGTCTTTTGCAACAGATTTGTCCAGTGCGATATGTCTTTTAATGCTTGCCTGCTGCTTCCATTGGCATTGATTGTAGAACCAAGTAATATGAAGTCTTTGACAACTTTGGTCTTTTCCCCATCTATCGTGATGCTGCTTGTTGGTACAATTGTGAGGATTTTTGTTTTCTTTCTATTGAGGTGTAATCCATACTGTAGACTGTAGTCTTTAATCTTCATGAGTAAGTGCCCTAAGTCATCCTCGCTTTCAGCAAGCAACATTGCGTCATCTGCGTATGACAGGTTGTTAATAAGCCTTCCTCCAATCCTGATCCCATGTTCTTCTTCATATAGTCCCCTTCTCAGATTATTTGCTCAGCATACAAATTGAATAAGTACGGTGAAAAGTTACAACCCTGATGCACTCCCTTCCTGATTTTAAACCATGCAGTATCCCCTTGTTCTGTTAGAATGAAAGCCTCCTGGTCTATGTATAGGTTCCTCATGAGTACAATTAAGTGCCTGGAATTCCCATTTTTCTCAATGTTACCCAAAATTTGTTATGATCCACCCAATTGAATGCCTTTGCATAGTCAATAAAACACAAGTAAACATCTTTGTGGTATTCTTTGCTTTAAGCCAAGATCCATCTGGCATCAGCTATGATGTCCCTTGCTCAACTTCCCCTTCTGAATCCAGCTTGCATTTCTGGAAGTTCTCTGTCAGTATACTACTGCAGCCTTTTTGAATTATCATCAGTAAGATTTTACTTGCATGTGGTATCAATGATATTGTTTGATAATTTCCACATTCTGTGGGATCACCTTTCTTTGGAATGGGTACAAATATGGATCTCTTCCAGTCAGCTGGCCAGGTAAGCTGTCTTCCAAATCTCTTGGCATAATCGAGTGAATGCCTGCAGTATAGCATCCATTTGTTGAAACATCTTAATGGGTATTCTGCCAATTCGCAGTCTTGTTTTTTTGTCAATTCCTTTAGTGCAGCTTTGATTGTTCCTTCAGTACCATTGGTTCTTGATCATATGCCACCTCCTGAAATGGATGATCATCTACCAGTTCTTTTTGGTAGAGTGATTCTGTGTATTCCATCCATCTTTTTTTTTTTTTTTTGGTGTTTCCTGCATCATTCAACATATTGCACATGGAATTTTTCAAGACTACAATTCAAGGCTTATATTTTTTCCTCAGTTCTTTTAGCTTGAGAAATGCTGAGCATGTTCTTCCCTTATGGTTTCCTAACTCCAGGTCTTTGCACATTTCATTATAATAACTGACTTTGTCTTGTCGAGCTGCTCTTTGAAATCTTCTGTTCAGCTCTTTTGTCCTGTCGATTCTCCCATTTGCTTTAGCTACTCTCCATTCAAGGGCAAGTTTCAGAGTCTCCTCTGACATCCACTTTGGTCTTTTCTTCCTTTCCTGTCTTTTTAATGACCTTTTGCTTTCTTCATGGATAATGTTCTTGATGTTATCCCATAATTCTTCTGGTTTTCTGTCATTGGTGTTCAGTGCATCAAATCTGTTCTTTAGATGGTCTCTAAATTCAGGAAGGATATAATCAAGGTCATATTTTGGCTCTCATGAACTTCTTTTAATTGTCTTCAGCTTCAGCTTGAACTTGTATGAGCAGTTGATGGTCTGTTCCACAATCAGCTCCTGGCCTTGTTTTGGCTGAAGATAGGGAGCTTCTCTATCACCTCTTGGCACAGATGTAGTCAGTCTGATTCCTGCGTACTCTATCTGGCGAAGTCCACGTGTATAGCAATCATTTGTGTTGTTGAGAAAAGGTATTTGCAATGAATAAGTTGGTTTTGAAAAATTCTATCATATGCAATCTTCAGCATCATTTCTATCACCAAGACCATATTTTCCAACTACCAATGACTCTTCTTTGTTTCCAACTTTGCATTCCAATCACCAGTGATAATTAACACATCTTGATTGCATGTTTGGTCAATTTCAGACTTCAGAATTTGATAAAAATCTTCAATTTCCTCATCTTTGACTTTGGTGGTTAGTGTGTAAATTTGAATAATAGTAATATTAACTGATCTTCCTCATAGGCGTATGGATATTACCCTGTCACTGACAGCTCTGTGCTTCAGGATAGATCTTGAAACATTCTTTGTGATGATGAATGCCACGCCATTCCTCTTCAACTTCTCATTCCCAGCATAGTAGATTATATGGTTGTCTGATTCAAAATGGCCAAAACCAGTGCATTTCAGCTCACTAATGCCTAGGATGTCGATCTTTATGTGTTCCATTTCATTTCTAAGAACTTCCAATTTTCCTAGATTCATTTTTCATACATTCTGTGTTCCAATTATTAATGGATGTTTGCAGCTGTTTTTGTTTTCCTATCTTAAGACGTGTCACATCAGCAAAAGGAGGTCCCGACAGCTTTACTCCATCCACATCATTAAGGTTGACTCTATTCTGAGGAGGCTGCTCTTTCCTAGTCATATTTTGAGTGCCTTCTGACCTGAGAGGCTCATCTTCAGATAATGCTTCAGGGCTTTTTTTTTTCCAGTAATATATCAGACAGTGTTTCATTGCTATTCATAAGTTTTTCACTGGCCAATTCTTTGAGAAGTGGCTGGCCTCTTCCATCTTCCAAGTCTGTCTTAAGTCTGAAAGTTCCAATGAAACCTGTCCACTGTGGCTAATCCTGTTGGTACTTGCAACGCTGGTGGCATAGCCTCCAGTGTCACAGCAACACACAAACCACCACAGGACGACTGTGGTGTAGTAAATTACTTAGTGTGGCTTTTCTACCCATAAGTTTTTGTAAACTTCAAGGTGGGAATTGCTATTAGCAACTGAGGAGATCCTAACTTTAAAGTTCGCCCACGTGGGTTATTTCTGTTGGGCGTGGCACAATACAATGTTCTGGGAGGTCCCCACTCTCTCACGTGCTTAGAGTTCTGATGCTGTGGTTGGCTAGTTTGACCACTCTTCCGGGCTCAAAAGGAGGCCTCCTGGAAGCAGAACTCTCTCTGACTGCTGGTTGAGGAAGACGTGCTGCCCAAAGAGACACGCGCCCCTGAAAGAGACTTGTGCTGCTGGGAAAGAGACGCAAGAGACACACATCACTGAGTGAGACACCAAGGGACCAGCACTGCTGAGCTAGAGACTGTGAGAGACTTTTGGCTGAGGGACGGTGGGCTGGGAGAGAGACTGAGCGTTCTTCCTGAACTTAAGTTGTAGCCTGGTGCTTCCCTAATAAACCCTATAATCTGTGAGTTCTGTGTGGCCACTGCAGTAAATTATCGAACCCAGGAGAGGTGGTGGGTGCTTTGGGAGGAACAGTTGGTAAAAGGGCTGGAGGGAGGCAGCATGTCTGGCCTTGCAGTAATAGGCCTTGGGTTACTGCTGGTAATCCTGTCTTCCTCTTGTGAGATTAGAGGAGGTCAGAACATGTGGCCTCCTTGTCGTTTTTGCAACGACAAACTGACAGACAAGTTTGTCTCCCTTGGGTGTTCCAAAATGTTCTTCTGCTTCCCCGCCTTCCCTACCTGTTCCAGCTCTAAAGGCATTTGCCGCCACTCCCAGCCTTCCCCTACCAGTTGCAGCCCTGCAAAAAAAAAAAAAAAAGCGAGAGAGAGAGAGAGACACACTCATATAGATAGATAGATAGATAGATAGACAGATAGATAAATCAATAGATAGATAGCTTGCACATAAAATTATGGAACTCCATGAAGTCAACAAGAGAATATAGAACAGAGAACCTAGAACAGAGCCCTTAATTTGTCTCCTGTCTTCTTTATTCATTGTCTAGCTTTCATATGCATATAAGGTAATTGAAAATACCTTGGTGGCTTGGGTCAGGCACACCTTATTCCTCAAGGTGACATCTTTGTTTTTAATGCTTTAAAGAGATCTTTTACAGCAAATTTGCCCAATGCAGTACATCATTTGATTTCTTGACTGCTGCTTCTATGGGCATTGATTGTGGATCCAAGTAAAAGGAAATCTATGACAACTTCAATCTTTTCTCCATCTGTCATGGTGTGGTATGTTGGTCTAGTTGTAAGGATTTTTGTTTTCTTTATGTTTAGGTGTAATCCACACTGAAGGGTATAGTATTTGAGCTTCATCAGTAAATGCTTCAAGTCTGTTTTTTAATTATCTTCAGCAAAATTTTACCTTCATGTAATATTAATGATATTGTTCAGTAATTTCCATGTTCTGTTGAATCACCTTTCTTTGGAATGGGCACAAATATGAATCCACTCCAGTTGGTTGGCCAGGTCTTCTAAATTTCTTAGCATAGACCAGCGAGTACTTCCAGTGTTGCATCAGTTTGTTGAAACATCTCAATTGGTATTCTGTCAACTCCTGGAGACTTGTTTTTTGCAAATGCTTTCAGTGCCGCTGGGACTTCTTCCTTCCATACCATGGATTTTTGGTCATAGGCTACCTCCTGAAATAATTAAACCTTGACCAATTTTTTTGGCAGTGACTGTGTATTCCTTCCATTTTCTTTAGATACTTCCTGTGTTGTTCAATGTTTTGTCCATAGAATCCTTCAATATTGCAAGTTTGAATTTTTTCCTCTGTTTTTAAAGCTTGAGAAATATATTTGAAGATCTATCCTGAAATACAGTGCTGTCACTGAATTGGATAATATCCATATGCCTATAAGAAAGACAAGTTAATAACGACCTTTATTCAGATTTACATACCAATGATGAATGCCAAAGATGAAGAAATTGAAGATTTTTACCAACTTCTGCAGTCTGAAACTGATCACACATACAATTAAGATTCATTAGTAGTTACTAGTGATGGAATACAAAAGTTGGAAACCAAAAAGGATCAGTTGTTGGAAAACAGAGCCTTGGTAATAGAAAGGACATGGGAGATCACATGATATAATTGCAAGACCCATGACTTACTCATTGAAAATACCTTTCACAACATAAATGGTAACTATACACATGGACCTTACCAGATGGAGTACACAGGAGTTAAACCAGCTACATCTGTGGAAAGAGACGATGGAGAAAGTCAGTATCATCAGTCAGAACAAGGCCAGGGACCAAATGCGAAACAGACCATCAATTGCTCATATGCAAGTTCACATTGCAGCTGAAGAAAATTAAAACAAGTCCATGAGAGCCAAAACCCTACTTTGAGTATATTCCATGTGAATTTAGAGACCATCTCAAGAATAATTTGATGCATTGAACACTAATGACCAAAGACCAGGTGAGTTGTGGGATGACATCAAGGATATCATACATGAAGAAAGCAAAGGTCATTAAAGAGACAGGAAAAAAAAAAAAAAAAGACCAAAATGGATGCCAAAAGAGACTCTGAAATTTGCCCTTGAATGGAGAGTAGGTAAAGCCATGGAAGAAAGGATGAAATAAAAGAGGTAAACAGAAAATGTCAAAGGGCAGCTCGAGAAGACAAAGTATTATAATGAAATGTGTAAAGATCTGGAATTAGAAAAACAAAAGGAAAGACCTTGCTTGGCATTTTCAAATTCATTGGCTCCTATTAGAAAAGTCAAATAAGAGAAGGACAGCAAATTGATTACTAGTTTGACTAAATGCAGGTCATTGTGCACCCAGGGCTTCTTTCATCAGATTGCTTCTCCAAAATTATGGAAAGAAAAAGCTTGTTTACCATCTTTTTCTATTTCTCTTCCTTTTTATTATTAATAATAATAGTAACATTAATAGCTAAAATGTATTAAGCACCCACCAGCTACTCCATGGAAGAAAAACTGGGCAATATACTTCCATAAAGATTTACCGTCTCAGAAACCCATAGGGGCTTGCTATGAGATGGAATCGACTCAATGGCAGTGAGTTTGTCTTTTTTTTTTTTTATTTGTAAGATACTGGCCTAAGCAATTTCATGTCTCATTGAATTTAATCTTTAGAATATTATAAAAATACTACTACTACTACTATTAATTTTCATGTGAGAAAACTGAAATACAAAGATGTTAAGAAATTTACCCAGGATCATACAGTTAGTGAGAGTCAGTACAAGGTAAAATGTAGGCAGAGTGATTCCAGAACCTGTACTCTTAACTACTAAATTTTCTTTTCAGAGAGACACAAATTCAGATGTTAAGTGATTTGTTCAAGATAACAAAACGATTAAGGGTCAAAACTAATGGCAGAATACAGTTCCTTTAACTCAGTTGCCAGTATATAATAACATAGTCCTTCTACTTAAAGAACCAAGGGTCTAATTTGAGACACAAAGGGAATATAACAGAATGAGCTGCAGGAGTCAAGAAAGACTCTATGAAGTATTTATAGCAAGAGCTGATGAACAGGACCATCTGGGATGATGATACTATATAAGCAAAAGAAAGATTATAAAAATGAGGGTAATAAGTTTAAGTGATACTGTTCTGACTATAATAGAGCTTTTTTTAAAAAAAAATAATAATAATGAAGGATGGTCATTTAAATATTTGAATTAGGTATCACTGTGTGAAAAAAATACATTTATGAACCAATAAAGATAACACCATAATGTAAAAGGTCAGTGTTAGGCTTGCTTGCCTTAAATGTAAAATAAAATTTTATAGCCTGTTATTTGCCGTTCTCCTTTCTAGCCTCATCTGTTTCAGTTAAGGGAATAACAGATATCTCAGATGTGGATCAATGGAAAGCAAGTCTCTTTGTGAAGGATTTCCTTGAGAAGTATGTGTCTTTAACTTCAAATTTCTCTAGACAGAAACAAATGGCCATTAAATGTGTCTATATTCTGGAAACAGAGCCCAGTATACCATTTCCTCCATCTAGGAATTCAAAACTCAGGAGAATGATCTGGAGGGGCAGATACGGATATTAAAGGCACTGCCAATTTGGCGATATATGGCAAAGCCTGAAAAAAATGATTATACATTTCACCTCATTTCTTTTTTTAGGGAAACTTTTTCTTGAGAAATCTACTAGCTAAATACACAAACATGTTCCTTTCATTTTTGCCTATATAGCAAAAAATTACAATAAACTTAAATTTCCAGCAATAGGGAATTGGTTAAATGAATTATGATTTCTCAGTACGATAGGGTTCTGTTCATCCATTTTTAAATGATGTGAATGTACATTGATTGATATGTAAGTGTGCTCATGCTTCACTGTTCAACAGAAAAGAACAGGTTACATGAACCCACTATTTTCATGTTAAGGAAAACAAAAAAAACCAAACTCAGCGCCATTGAGTCAATTCTGACTCATAGTGACCCCTCCTTGGGTTTCTGAGGCAGTGTCTACGGAAGTAGATTGCCCAGTCTTCCTTGCGAGGAGTGGCTGGTGGGTTTGAACTGCCAGCCTTCTGGTTAGCAGTCAAATGCCTTAGGCAGTACGCCACCAGAGCTCCCATATTAAGGAAGTATTAAGATATTTGCATAATTTTTGCATTCATCTCTGCAATGGGGCTATGGGTAATTTTCCTTGGTTTTTGTCTGTTGGAATGTGATGCTTTTTATAGGATAAACATACAACATTTGTTAATAAAAATGTTTTAAAATAGGATATATGTAAAATCAGTTATTGTATAATGTTACAGGAAAACCGCTACAAGAATTCAAACCCAAATTAATTGTGAATTTGATGAAATTATTCCAAGTTCAAATCCAAATTCCCAAACTGAAGTAGAGGAAACCAGTTTATATACCCCTGAAGACTACAGCGAAACTTTTACACCTGTCAACTCTTTAGAAAAATTTCCTGCACTTCAAGCAGAAAACCAAGGTAAAGCATTTATTATTTCTATTGTTATAAAACATTTCTTATTAATAGACAGATTTTTATTTGATTGATTTTGTTCTGTTCTGTTATACATAGGGTCACTATGAGTCAAAGTCAACTTGACAGCACTTAACAACACGTCTGAAAAGTTCTTAATTCAGTTTTCACATTGATACTCTTGTTAGTTACAGAATATTTTGGTTCAAAATAATTTTTTTTCTCAGAATTTAAAATACATTGCTCCATTTTATTTTCTTCCAGTCTTCTCAGATTTCACAATGTTGTGCCTTGTTGTGGGTGTTTGTTCATCATTGCGTTGGGCACGTGATGTACCCTTTTAATCTAGATACTCATGAACTTCAATTTTGAGAAATTTTCTTCCATATTTCTTTAATGAATTCCTTCTTTCATTTTTCTCTTGTTCTGTCTTCCTGACTCTCGTATTGTTCATTCATTGAGGTCTTCCTTAAAGTTTTCAATAAAATTTAAATTTTTCTTCATAAAAATTGTGATGGTAAATATCTTTTATCAGATTTATTTCTCATGGGAACCCCCATTGAGTTTCTGGGGCCGTAAATCTTTATGGAAGTAGATTGTCCCATCTTCCTTCCATGGAGTGGCTTTTGGGTTTGAGCTACTGACCTGGTTAGCTGCCAAATGCCTTACCCACTATACCACCAGAGCTCCTTAGATTTATTCCTTGTTGTTGTTAACTTTATTTTAGCTGCTATTATTCATTATATTTTTCCATTAAGTTTTTTATTTGTTGCAACGAAAGACAGTTGATTTTTATATTCCTTTTATATATCTAAGGGCTCTGGTGGTGTAGTACCTAAGGCATTTGACTGCTAACCAGAAGGCTGACGGTTCAAACCCACCAGCCACTCCTCAAAAGGAAGACTGGGCAATTTACTTCCGTAGCGTTACCACCTCAGAAACCCAAGAAGGAGTCGCTTTGAGTCGGATTCAACTTGACGACAATGAGTTTGGTTTGGTTTTTTGGTTTTATATATCTACTCACATTCCTAAATTCTCACATTAATTCCACTGCTATATTTTTACATAAATAACAAGCACCTTCTAAGTTTGTTTGCTAACTGTGCCCTCCCCCAGAGGCATTTTCCTGAAGGCACTATGTAAATTGTATATGTATGTGTGTGTGTGTGTATACACACACACACACACACACTTACATATACATACATACAGAAACATCTACAAAATAAATTGGTTGTGAAAATACTTCCTGTGCAGAGGGAGCAGGTGGCAAACAAATGTAGAAGGCTCATGTTATTTACATAAAATATGGTAATTTATTCTAATAATTATAATGAACATAGCCATATTAACTGTGAATAATGGTCATCTGTTTCTTCTTTTAAATGTATCTTTTTGTTGTTGTTGTCTTGCTATGCTGACTAGGACTCCCAGTACATTGTTCAATAGAGGCAGTGATAGTTGCCATCTGTTATAGTTGTGTGTCCACTTGACTAGGCCTGGTTTTGAGTGGCTGAGCAGCTGAATATAGTTATTCCCCATGATGAGATTGGTAATGAGCTCCATGGTGGAATGTACTGGAGCAGCTGAGTAGTTGCCTTAGAGATGTGGTCTGCTTCCAGTTTATAAAAAGCAGCTTTGAGAAAGGTCTCTGCAGCTTTTTGGCACATCTGGACCCTGCATGTAGTTGAGTCTTCATGCAGCAGCCTGCCGTATTTCCTGCCGATCTTAGGACTGTCTCTGGACTTGAATCGGTGGCCTGCCATGTTGTTTGATCATTTTGAGACTGTTCCACTTTATTTATTGACCTTGGGTTTGTCAGCCTCAGCAGCTAGCAGCTGTCTAATAGATGCCTCCAGCTTCATTGGGCTGGGAGCAAAAAGCAGAGCTGAAGCCCAAGGTCAAGGGGCCTTCATCCAGCCCCTAGAGCTGGCACTTTGAACTCGGACATTTAGTTAGCCTCTTAACTGTAAGAGAATAAACTCTTGTTTGTTCAAACCACCCATTTGTGGTATTTGTTAGAGTGGCAGTAAAGAACTGAAACACCATCCTTGTTTCTGACAATAAAGGAAATGCTTCTGACACTTGACCATTAAAAATGTTTATGTTGTTTTTAATGTTTACATCATTTTCAATGGTGAAATGTTAGAAGCATTTTCTTTATTGAGTTTAAGAAGCTTTCTTCTGTTCCTAATTTGCTAAGCACTTTTAATCATAAGTAAGGATTGAATTTTATCAAATATTTTTTTACATCTATTAGTATATCCACTTTTTAAATATATAGAATGTTCCTTTTCTAAGCTCCAAAATCCTATAATCAAAGATAAATCATTTTACTATTGTGATAATACTATGTATGCATTATATTATTTTAAATGTTTACATTATCTTAGGAACATTTTACCATATACTTAAATTTTCTTCAAAAACATGGCTTCTAATGACTAAAGTTCTTAATCCTGTGTAAGTATATCACATCTCCCAATTTGACAGCATTAATGTTGCCTTTAATTTCAAATTACACTTAAGTTTGTGTTCCCACTTCTAATTATTTTCTTGGAGTAAATTCCTGGAAGTATAATTAGTTGGTATTTTTTAGCTACATGTCCACTAGTATTTTTGTGGATATTCTGTTCACTCCAGGATTATCACTGTTGTAATAAATTTTAACCAATGTGATAGGCAAAAAAATTATATTTTTATTTACATTTTAAAAATGATTTGTATGTGTTGGCCATTTGCATCTTTTTATTTTATGAAATAATTCTCTCCTTTGTCTATTTTTCTTATATTTTATCTTTATATATCAAAGATCCTGATAATCTCAAGTGTTTCTAATTTGAATCTAATCAGTTCTGTCAATGTTTTCCTTCACTGCTTTTACACTGAGAAAATTCCTTGAATAAGATAAATACTTACTCATATTTTCTCTGTGGTTTTTTTATGGTCTTATTTTTCAGATTCTGATATATGTTTAAAAGTAGATATAAAAAATATTTTTTCCAAATGTTTTGGTAGTTGTCTTCATACCATTTTTAGAATAATCCTTCCTTGCCCCACTGATGGAAAAAAAAAAAAAAAAAAACTCAACTCCTATCAAGTCGATTCCGACTCAGAGCAACTCTCTTTGGGTTTCTGAGACAGTAAGTCTTTACGGAAGTAGGTTGCCCAGTCTGTCTGCCACGGAGTGGCCAGTGGGTTTGAACCACCAGCTTTCTAGTTAGCAGTCAAATGCCTTAGGTACTATGCCACCAGAGCTCCTTGCCTCACTGATTAGATGCTGCTTACATCATATACTAAATTCTTATTCACATTGGAGTTTGATTCTGGATTTTCTAATATGTTCTGTTGATTTGCCTATTAATATATCAGCATCACATCGTTTGGGAGCTCTGGTAGCATAGTGGCTAAGACACTTGCCTGCTAACCAGAAGGCTGGCGGTTCAAACCCACCAGCCACTCCTCGGAAGGAAGATGGGGCAATCTACTTCCATAGTGATACTGCCTCGGAAACCCAAGGAGGGGTCGCTATGAGTCAGGGCTGACTCGACGGCACATAACAACAACAACAACATCACATCACATCGTTTTAACTATTTTATATATCTGTATAACAGTGTAACAATAATCTCTCATTACCATTTTTATTATTTTTTTTTGCTACTCTCAACTCTATGTCCTTCTAGTTTTACTTTTGAATCACTTTCTCAAGTTCCAAAACAGACTTTTTGAGGAATTTAAATTGTATTGGGATCCTTAGAAATTTACCCTAGTTAGTCTTTCTAACCAGGAACATGGATTATCTTGCCTTTTATTCACATTTTTTTTCCTAATGGTCCTCAATAAAGTTTTGTTTCCTCCATCTACTTTCTGTCCATTTTTTGTTATGTTTACTTCTTAATATTTTATGTATTAGTGGCCATTATGGGTTTTTTTCCCTCGTTATTCTTTGGGTTTTATAACTTTTTTAAGCAAATAGCTCAGTGAACATCTTTCTTTGTTTTATTTAATTATCATGAGTTTTCTAGATAAACAAAAGTATCTGCAGAGAGTGGTAAGCCTGCTCTTTCCCATCAGCAGATTCCTTTTTCTGCTCTTTTTCATATTCATAGGTAACGAGCCAAAACTTTATTTCCTGATAAGAATTTTACACTATTCTACAGTAGAAGAAAATAGTCTCCTCATATATGTGCAGTACACAAAGTAAGAACTCTAGTTGTTATTATGTGCTGTCGAGTCAGACCTGACTCATAGTGACCCTCCTTGGGTTTTCGAGGTGATATCACTTATGGAAGTAGATTGCCCAGCCTTCCTTCCGAGGAGTGACTAGTGAGTTTGAACTGCCCGCCTTCTGGTTAGCAGTCTAATGCCTTAGGCACTAAGCTACCAGAGTTGCCAAGAACTCTAGGGAAAGCTGTAATAGCTATAAAAAATATAAGGAAGTAGAACGCTTGGCAACAGCCTTTGTCTAATTATAAAGACTATTGGTCATGGTGAGATGCTGCCCTCAAGTGGCTCCATCAAAAACAAGTATGGCTGGAAAACAAGACCTTGTAATTGACATGGGTTATTTTCATGAACTTCCAGAAATTAGACCTAGATGAAGCTCGAAGAAGAAAGATGGCTCAAGTTTCTGTGTTTCCAAGTGGAGTATGGAGATGGGTGTACAAACTAATACCGTTTGAGTTCTTACTATTAATATGATTTCATTAATACTTATAAAAAACAAAAAACCATTCTCACTGCCCACGAGTTAGCTCCGACTCAGAGACCTCTCCTTGGGTTTCCAAGACAGCACCACTACAGAAGTAGATTGCCCAATCTTCCTTCTGAGGAGTTTGAATCGCCAGCCTTCTGGTTAGCAGTCAAATGCCTTAGGCACCACGCTAGGATGGATTATTTAAATCAATCCTTTTTTTTTTTTTTTTTTTTTTAACTTTCTCAGATAATCCCTACTTGGACATGGAATTGATTTTCTAACATTCCTTACTTTGTCATGTGAAGCTGTTGGGCATAAGATCATCAGGAACTTAACAGGTTCTGATAAAACAATCTCCTGGGAGGCGAGTTTACATCAGCAGTTCTCTTTTGGTGTTTCATTAAACATCAGGCAGGGATGTTCCCTGGTTGCCTGCCTTATACCACATATTTATCAGACATACTCCCTCAAAACTTCATACTGTCTTTCTCCCATGCCATTCTGCCATCATTTTACTAAAAGGCTTTTGCTTTTGGGAGCTTGGCTTTCTGAATAGTTCCTCATCTAAACTATCATCTTCCTTTTTCTCTTTGCATTTAGGAACTTACTGAAGAATGAGGGCATGTTTTATGTCTCCTTCCTTGACTTAGGAAAAGCTCTGACATAATTAGCCAAGATTCTATGGTTACCAAAGCATGGCAGGGTGAGGGTAGAGAGGAGAGATTTATTCTAGTAATTAACTGTTAGCAGTAATGTTTGTTCCTATGTATCACATTTGTCAAGTAGAAACTGCTATATAAGTTACTTTGTGATTCACTTTATAGTAACCATGTATGAATAACTTTAGAGTGATAGAATCAGAGTAGGGTTTGTAGATGATCTCTATTTCCTACATGTCCAAATGTCTGGGAGATGACTTGGAGACATTAAGAGGTAAAATGATACAGAGAAGAGAAGACCAGAGTCCACAAAAGTCAAATGCTTTCGTTTTTTTATGATTTTGCTTAGGCTACCCCTGCCTATTTTGAAGCATAAGGCAACGAGATACATTCCTCCATTGATTAAACTAATGTTGGTTAGTAAGGTAATACTAGTATAACTCTGTCAGGCTATTTGACTGTTCTTGGTTTATTAAATATTAAAGTTTATTGAGCTTTTACCTGTGTACCAGTACTATACTACATGTGTTGTATGTACAGTACAATAAAGAGCTAAAGAGTTAAAAATGTATTTGCAATCCCAACTATATCTACTAGCCAATTACATTAACTATCTAAATTCCTTTGTATAACTTTTAGATTGTTTTCTTATTTCATTATTATTTCTTTTCAGATCTCTTAATTGATGAAGAAATAATTTCTGTAAATAATTTGATGGGCTATAGACGTCACCTACCAACGTTGAATACTCTCTTGAGTAGGCTAAAACTATATTTGGTAGAGGATCCCCTTTTAGATTTCAAAGAACAGACCTTCACAAAAGCTAATTTTTTCAGGTACTTACTGCTCAATACTATATTTTTAAGATGAGAGAATATTCTTTGTATGGCAATAACAAGTTTTGATGTTATCAGTAATAATAAAATGTACTTTGATTGACTACAATTTTGCTGTATCTCCAAACTTGCGTCAGTAAATACAGTATAAACGCTTTATATGTATGCTAATTTAGAAAATTGAGATGAAAGGAGGCCACTTTCATTTTCTATTTTGTTAAAAATTAAATTGGTATCTGAGTTGAGGTAGCTACAACTATTATTTGATACTGTTATTTATGTGTTTTACAAACTTGGATTTAAGTTGAATACTTAAGGTAATACATGTTGTTGTTGTTGTTGTTATGTGCCGTCGAGTCGGCCCCGACTCATAGCGACCCCTCCTTGGGTTTCCAAGGCAGTATCACTACAGAGGCTGGTGGGTTTGAACCGCCAGCCTTCTGGTTAGCAGTCAAGTGCTTTAGCCACTATGCTACCAGAGCTCCCAAGGTAACATAGCATCTTTCAATAAAATGTCAGGTTTATTGGTACTAGAATATCACCCTAACTATCTTTTACTCATTTAAAATAACTCAAATATATGGGCTGCAGAGACAGTAAAACTCAATATAATAAAGATCATTGCCATAGTAGTTTTAACCTCTAGTAGTTTAATTATGGTCACTATGTTTTCAAAGCCAGAGCTAGGATACCTGATCTAACAAAGAGTGTTTTGTTTGTCATTTCTAGGTGCTCAAGGCAATCTAGAATGCCCAAATTATTGACACTTAAAAAACATTATTTTCAATGGTTGGGAATTTTAATTCAAATTTTATTTGATGTGTTCCAAATTACAGTGTACTAATAAACAGTCTTTGATGATAGACCACATGCCTTATTTATTCGTTCATTCATTCAACAGGTGTTTATTGAACATTTAGTATATACCTTCCTTTTAGTAAATAGTCATTATTTTTTTTTTAAGGGAATGTTTTTCTTTTCAAGAACACTTGGAAGTTAACGAGAAAGAAGAGTTTTGCATGGAGAAAGAGAACTTCTGTCAGGAGAAACTAGGGGATACAGTAGGTTAAAATCAAGTTGTAATACTTTCTTACATGTACCTACATATTTACTTGCATTGACATTTACAATACTTACTTTACATCTTCTTAAAAATGTAGTGAAGCACACTTTTTAAAAATATATATGTTGACTGCCTGTAATTATCAAGTTAAAAGATACGAAGATGGTTTGAAAGTGTTTTAATTACAGTCAGATTTGCTTCTAAAACAGTAGTTCTCTGCTTGTCTGCACATTGGAATTACCTGGGGAGGTATTTTGTGTGTGTGTCATTTGGATGAAAGTTAATGAAAGTTTACAGAGCAAATTGGTTTTCCATTGAACGATTCATACACATTTTGCTTTGTGACATTGATTGCAATCCCTACAATGTGAGAGCACTCTTCCTGGTTCCTCCCTGGGTTTACCATTTCCCTTCATCCTACTTTCCTTTCCTTTGCTGCCTTCTGAGCTTTATCCCTGGGCAAAGGCTGCCCTTTTGATGTCATACGATTGATTGTTCTAATGACTGCATACCTCCCTGGTGTTAATTGTTCACCTTATATGCCTGTCTATTAAGGAGCTCTGGTAGCATAGTGCCTAAGGCACTTGACTGCTAACCAGAAGGCTGGCGGTTCAAACCCACCAGCCACTCCTCGGAAGGAAGATGGGGCAATCTACTTCCGTAGTGATACTGCCTTGGAAACCCAAGGAGGGGTCGCTATGAGTCGGGGCCAACTCGATGGCAAATAACAACAACAACAACATTATTTGGCTGAAAGTTGAACCACAGGAGTGAGTTAAGTTCCGAGATTCCAATAAGCCTGGTCTTTTTAATGATTTTGAATTTTGTTCCACATTTTTCTCCCACTCTACCTGGAACCTCCTATTGTGATCCGTATCAGAATGATCAGCAGAGCCATGTACCATCTAGTTTTCTGGTCTCAGAGTACTGGAGCTGGGGATCATGTGGTTCACTAGTCCTTTGTACTAATTGTTTCCTTGCATTTTTGATTGTCTTCACTCTTCATTGCTCCAGATGGGGACAAACCAGTAGTTATACTGGCTGCTTGCAAACTCTTAAGACCACAGTGACTACTCACCAAAATGCAAAGTGAAAAACAAAAAAAGTAGGGTGTAGAACATTGGCTTTGGGAACTGTTAAGACAATTGACCTTGATGTCTAAGGAGACAATAGTCTTGAGTCCCTAGGCCCAGCAGCAGGTCGTTCCTTCAAGGTGTTTGGTTTTGGCTAAGAACCTTTTATAACTTTGCCCCTATATGCTTTATTATATTTGTGGATGTATTTGCAGTGCCTTATAAATACATATGTAGAAATATCCCCTGTCAAACTTATATATTCATGGGTACAATCGCATTTGCCCTCCCATACCTCTTCAGCTTCCAGTCTACCTGTATGTCCACCCACAGTTTATTGTCATTACTGTTATTTTAGGATTGTATATGTAATAGTGTATCTCTGTTGCCTCAAACTCATTATAACGTTGCTCCCAGCGTGTTCCTTTCACTGGATCATTTTGTACTGACTGCCCCTCATTATATATTGCCTTTACCTTCACACTAGTTAAAGAACTAGTCTACTGTCTAGGTAGTGATTTATCAACCTTCCTTTCTAACCCCTGGCAACCTTCAAAGAATGTTTTTTTGTGTGTAAACCTTTACTTTTTTACAATTTCACTGCTAACCAGAAGGCTGGTGGTTCAAACCCACCAGACACTCCTTGGAACGAAGATTGGGCAATCTACTTCCATAGTGATACCACCTCAGAAACCCAAGGAGGGGTCGTTAGGAGTCGAATCCGACTCAACGACAGTGAGTTTGGTTTTTTTGGTTTTCCCCTCCAACTCCCAACCTTCAAAGAATATTTTTCTGTACTTTTCTTTACTTTTTCACAGTAGTGGTCTCATACAATATTTGTCGTTTTGTGATTGACTAATTTCAGTCAGTATAATATCCTCCAGGTTCATCCATGTTATGAGGTGTTTTGCAGAGTCATCATTCTTCTTTAATGTTGAATAGTTTTCCATTGTGTGTATCTACCGTAGTTTGTTTATCCATTCATCCGTTGATGGGAACTTAAGTTGTTTCCATCTTTCTGCTATTGTGAATGATGCTGCAGTAAACATGAGTGTGCATACATCTGTTCAAGTCATGGCTGTTATTTCTCTGGGATATACCCCTAGCAGTGGAAGTGAGGGCTCTTATGGCTATGAGTTGGGTCCGACTCCACGGCACATAACAACAACAACAATAGTATTTCTATTTCCAACTTTTTAAGCAAGCGCCATACCATTTTTCACATTGGTTGTCCTATGTTACAGTCTCATCAGCATTGTATGAAGGTTCTAGTCTTTCCATACCCTCACCAGCATTTGGTGTTTTCTGTTTTTTGAACTTTGCTGTTAATGCTGGGGTGTGATAATATCTTATTGTTGTTTTGATTTACATCTTTCTAATGGCTAATGATTGTGAGCATTTCTTCATGTGTTCGCTAGCCCCCTTTATGTCTTCTTTGGTGAAGTGTCTGTTTATGTCCTCTGACCATTTTTAATTAGATTATTTGTCTTTTTCCTGTTGAGGTATTGAAGGGTTTTTTTTGTGTGTGTGATTTGGGTGAAGATTTACAGAGCAAATTCACTTTCCATACAGCAGTTCACATACACTTTGTCTTATGACATTGACTACAGTTCATGACAATATAACAGCTCCCTTCTCACTTCCTCCCCATAGTTGCCTCTTCCCAGTGTCCATACCTCCATACTCTTCCTGTCCCCTGAGCTGTCTCCCTGTGCACATACGCTGCCCTTCTTTCTCCCATGATTGTTCTCTCCAAGGAGTGTATCTAC